CAGGCTGGAGTGCAGTGGTGTGATCTCCGCTCACTGAAACCTCCACCTCCTGGGTTCAAGCGATTCTCCTGCCTCAGCCTCCCAAGTAGCTGGGATTACACGTGCATGCCACCACGCCTGGCTAATTTTTGTACTTTTAGTAGAGACAGGGTTTCACCATGTATGTGGGCCAGACTAGTCTCAAACTTCTGACCTCAGGTGGTCTGCCTGCCTCAGCCTCCCAAAGTGCCGGGATTACAGGCGTGAGCCACTGTGCACAGCTGAAAACAGGTACTTTTAACAAGAACAGCAAGCCCCCCGACTCCCAAACATGCCCTGGGAGCTGGCTCCCCCGCCCACAGCAAACTCACCGCCACAGCCTTCAAGGACTGCACGATGATCCAATGGATCTCGTCGAACAGCTTGCTGGTCACCTCCTTGCCGCGGGTGCTCTCCAGGTACAGCCGCAGGTTGCTCACTGTCCACTTGCCCCCATGGATGTGGTTGTAGTCCTCCTGGTGACAGGAAAGCGGGCAGGCATCCCTCAGGTTATGCACCCCAGAGGAACCCCGTGGAACCGTTGCATCCCCCAAGCATTTCTGGAGTGCCCCCTGGGTGTGGGCATGCAGCAACAAGGCAAACGTCTGGACCCTTACCCCAGGGAGATCTGGGCCAGCTATTTTCCATTTTGTTTTAAGATAGGGTCTCACTCCGTCCCCCAAGCTGGAGTGCAGTGGCATGACTTTGGTGTACTGCAGCCTTGACCTTTTGAGCTTAAGTGAGCCTCTCACCTCAGCCTCCCAAGTAGCTGGGACTACAGGCACGTGCCACCATGCCTGGCTGATTTTTAAATTTTTTTAGAGAAGAGGTCTCACTATGTTGCCCGGACTGGTCGTGAACTCCTGGCCTCAAGCGATCCTCCTGCCTTGGCCTCCCAAAGTGTTGGGATTACAGGCATGAGCCACTGTGCCCGGCCGCCTGGGCCTCCTATTATGTGGGGTTTTTTTTCTTTTGAGATAGAGTCTCACTCTGTCGCCCAGGCTGGAGTGCAACGGCATGATCTCGGCTCATTGCACTGTGAGTCACCGTCCTGGCCTTACGTGGGTATTTTTAAATGCTCGTCTCCCTAAGACTCCCGGGCTTAATCATTTATGCCTCACAGCACAGGCTGTGGAGTGCTGCCGGGATACCCTTCAAGACCAAGGCGCTCGTTCTTCCAGCTGAGACCCACCCTCACTGGGAGTGCCCTTGGCTTGAGGGAGCTGCCTAATCCAGGGTGAAAGCCTTCCCCAAGGGCAACGGCATACCACGTCTGGCTGACGCCATGTGTGAGGCCCTGCTCCCTCCAGGACAGCCCTGCAGGGCCACCCCCGCTCCACAGCACCCCGGGGTGGGCGGAGGCCTCCATTGCAGCAACATCAGCTTGCTGACTTCTACCTCAGTTTTTCCTGGGGAAGCCAGCCTAAGACGCGCCTGGGCTGCACACTGCAGTGTAAAAGCACCACACCCATAACTCTCCAACAACCTTGAGAAGTTGCCATTATCATTCCATTTCACAGAGGAGGCCAGGCTCAGAGAAGCAGTTACTTGGCCAAGCTTTCCTCCTGGGCTGGGATGGGGCTGGGCCCCCAGCCCACATGTTCTGAGCCAGTTCTGAGCTCTTCCTGTTTTGCCATCCCTGAAAATTAATTCTCCATACAATGCTTGCCTTTGAAGGCAAAGGGCTAGAAAATACCCAAATGTATTACATTGTTAAGAGACTGTAATTTCATTTTCTAAGTATAAAGTGAGAACCATGAACTAAAACAAAATCAGCCTACTAACTGCTCGAGCAAACATCACTGACTCAAAGCAGATAAAAGGAGAATTAACCACATTTTAAAAGACAGTCCAGGCATGGTGGCTCACACCTGTAATCCCAGCACTTTGAGAACCCAAGGTGAGAGGATCACCTGAGGTCAGGAGTTCGAGACCAGCCTGGCCAATGTGGTGAAACCTCATCTCTACTAAAAACCCCAGTCAGGTGTGGTGGCACTCACCTATAACCCCAGTTACTCGGGGGGCTGAGGCAGGAGAATCACTTGAACCCGAGAGGCGGAGGGTGCAGTGAGCCGAGATCACGCCACTGC